GACGCAGCAGTTCTCATTTTTGCAAATCATACATTATTACAAGGAAAAATACTACCACACGAGGGGAAATCATTGTGGTGTCCATGAAGATGTGAACAAATAGGCATACATCTAGCTTACACATTTACCCACATTTTTATAAGCCTGCTTAACCAAAGCTAATTTGCGTGGGTTTCTCCCATCCCCATACAATGTCACTTCTCTGTCTTTTACGGCCCTGATGAGAGCGCCGGTCTCCTTGGCTGTGAACCGCTCCTGGCGTGCGCCTGGCAAATCCGCCATAGCAATCCACCATGGAACAAGCGCGCCTGCTCTTAAAGGGAGTGTGAGAAGACGCTCTGATTGGTTTATTGCACGTTACGCCTAAACCACACCTATGAGTAATGTAGCTACTTCAGACCAACACATTTTAGATTTTACATTTTAGATATATAATAGCAACAGCGCCCGAGATCCGCCCACAAAGTTACTTGCGTTTCGCTTTTGCGTTTCAGATCGTTAAAATAGGGCCCTATAACTATAAAGGTAGCTACAAGTTTTATGCGGTTAAATGTCGAAATAACTCCAATATCATACACTACAGTTGTGTGGGGTGGGGTAAATTAAGCGTGACCTGCTGTGAAGTCACAGTCATGGTGCATTGTGGTGTATGGATCTGCCTGAAATGTACATATTGACTCGAGTAGACTCACTTTCCTCAATTAAAACTGAGGGATCGGGGGTCTGTCCAAATAAACTTCCCTCATCCACTTGACGAAGCAATTTAAAATGGTGGCGGTGATTCCCTCAAGGGGAAGTGCTTAGGGAAGTTCACGAGTCTAAAAGTGGAGTTAAACCCCGCCCAGAGAGAGACAGAAAGAAGTTGTTTCCACACATGTAAGCTAATGCCATAATTTCGGAGAAAAATGTCAGACTCACAAAGAGGTGCATGACTGCGCAAGCTTTGGGGCCGTTGATGGACTCGATTTAGTCTATGTTTTGATCATCATTCTGAATCTAATCTGGATGAAGGTTTAGACAAAAATACAATATACATATTAATACAATAAAATATTCTGGGAGCCATTAACGTTTTGTGAATATGATAAAAAATGCTGGCGCTGGCAATTTCAAAGTGAAAATTGTTTCTACACCATTTTATTTTTCAATGTATAAGCAAGTAATTTATACATTGATTCCCCAAAAAAGTTCAAGCACTGGTTCTTTAAAAGTTGCTTAATTAATGGTGTATCTTTAGGGCAGGACTATCAGTTTGGCAGACCAATGGCAGACGAGGAGAGCGTTTCAAAACCTGTTTCAACACAATCATTGATTCTGACAACTGGTGTGCACCAGCAGTGAACACAAAGACGTAGAGTGTTTTATTTTTCATTTCATTTCTGGCGTCAGAAGGACTTGTGCTCCAGAACAGATTATTCTTTGTCAGTCTATGTGGCATTATGTCTTTTAACCCCTTCATTGCAGTACTTCATTGCAGTACATTGCCACTTTAGTACTTAGTAAAACACCCTTTTGCTGTTATGACCTGCTGCAAACGAGATGTATAACCCAGGGGCGTAGCCAGTATTGGGCCAGGGCGGCACTGGCCCGCCCACATTACTCACTGGCCCGCCCAGGCAAGTTTGATAAAAATACATTTTTAGTTTATTTTTATTCAAATGTATTTAAGAAAATATATTAATATATACCTGATTTATTGTTGACTGCTGTGTGTGTTTAATTCGTTTTCCGAATAAAATGGAACTGTCGAAGCAAGTTGTAGAAAGCCTCTCTCCGGAACGTTATTGGTTGCTATGGTTGCTGGGGGTTCCGACAGGAAAACTCTCAGCGGCGTCGGCGCCACAATAATGGCTAAACAACTTTCTTTAATGTGCTATTTGAAAAAAGCAAGAGTTGAGGAAGAAGACACGCCACTGCCTTCATCTACCGAGTCCACCCAGCCCAGTTCTTCCGACTCATTACCCCAGGAGAAGGCTAGTCAGGTGCTGGTGGCGGCTGCTTCTTGCTCCCTCTCTCCCGATCAGCCTAACGTGGGTTTACCCGCCGATCTAACTGCGATATTATTATTTTAGCTTACTTTATTTTCGGGTGAACTGTCTTTGCACTGCTGACTAGCCTGAATAAAATAGACAGGTTATTGTCTACACTGGTTTGTCCAGCCTTTATTAAGCTCTGTTGGTTGAACATGATGATTTGCCGAATATTAAGGTGTAACTGTTTTTGCAGTTTCAGTTTGTCTATTCATTTTTCTACTCTCTAAGGTTAATTATTACTGAAGTCATTTTTTTCTATGAAAAACTATAGGCCCACTCACATTTTCACTGGCCCACCCAAAATACAATTTCTGCCTACGCCACTGGTATAACCAGACACCAGCTTCTGGCAGTGTTTCTGAGGAATCTAGCCTATTCCTCATGAGCAATGGCCTCCAGTTCAGTAATATTCCTGGGTTTGCGTGCTGCAACCGTCTTCTTCAAATCCCACAAGAGATTTTCTATGG